ATTTGTTTAAACAGAACAGGAATTTGATATACTTTCAGTGCTGTGTTGATACTAATTCTATATTACTTTGAGGAGATCTTTTATTAAGGACTGTTACTTTGCATACTGTGGTATTTGTACTTTTAATAAAGCAGATATTCTATAAGTAACCTATACTTCTTCAATCACTGTCCATAGTGATCCTTGCCTCTGTACTGTGCTGGAGCCATTATTCTTCATCTAAAACAATACTGAGAGTATTTAAGTTGTCTTCTTGGCAACATATTGAGGACGTAATACATTGGTTGTTTTCAATTCGATTTTTTCTTCTCTTTGCTTATTATCACTTGCTTTGTGGCTTTTCTCATCTGATAATTTACCAGTCACGTGGAGGCAGGTGAATGAAACGGGTCATTTTAGTCTTTATGAAGAATATTTCCTATTATACGACTGTAAAGATAAAATGAGACTGATGGTGTCGCTGTTGCCTGACAGACTTTAAATGCACACCACTCCACCCAGGGTTACTATACGTGGGAATCGCTTGTAATATCCCGCAGAGCCAGTTAAATCCTCGAAAATATTTAGTCGTGTTTCGTCGTGCCTTTCAGTGCTGGATTATTGAAACCTTTTCCATCAGTTTTATTCTTTTGTACTGGACACCAAGTCGTGCAGGCTCGGGACACGTTTTATCTGAGGATGGGAGACAAAGGATTCATAGCTCTTCCTCCGATCTTCTGCTTCGTGCCCTTTATTCTAACGCTGCACCTCGTTTATGGAGACCTGAGTTATTCTACACCAGAGGAGATGAAACGAGGATCTGTTATTGGAAATGTAGCAAAGGATCTCGGTATTGATCTCAGAACCTTATCTTCCAGACAGACCCGTGTAGACTTTGGTGGAAATCGGAAACGGTACTGTGATATTAATTTGAACACTGGTGATTTGATCACCACGGACAGAATCGACAGAGAAAGCCTTTGTGGAAAAAAACCATCGTGTGTTCTGAAAGTAGATCTGGTGTTAGAAAATCCTTTGGAGCTTCATCGTGTGAGTCTTCATGTTCAAGATGTAAACGACAACTCGCCGCAATTCAATGACAATTTGATAGAAATGGAAATAAGCGAGTCAGCAGATAAAGGAAACCGCTTCTCTATCGAGGAGGCCCATGACGCAGATATAGGTCAAAATACTGTTCAGAGGTACAACCTGCAAAAGAATGACAACTTTATTCTC